GATGATGAAGATCGGAGATGATGGGTAAAAATGGTGATTAGAGGATGATGGAAGAAAAAGAGGAGGAAGGTTAAATTTGTAATTTTACTCTTACATTTATTTGGTTTATACAGGAAAAACCCTTATTTTATAATATGTGCACCCATCGGTGTTGAACCGGTGGGTGTACGTATCTTTATCCAAGAAATAAACCCACTCTATTCAAATAAAATCTCAAGATTATGAAGCAATTCTCAATTTTTTTTTTTTTTAATTGGCTTCTTCCCCAATTTCCTGAATCTCCTCATGGTGTTTTGTATGAATTTTTTACCCTAGTCTTCTGTGATATTTGATACTAACAGCATCCATGGAACAAAGTATATATAATTAGACTTGTTCCACCATTCATTAGGTTCAAGCAAGGTAATTGGCAAAAACTTTCAAGATTCTCATATATATATATATATATATACACACACACTATAGTTGGTTATATTATTGGTCACTTTTAAGTAATTATATATGTTTCATTATTTGCCACTCAAACACTATATTTCATCCTTGTTTTAAACCAAACCTAAATCCTTTCCATCCTTGTCTGAAGGGCTTGCCTTCCACATTCAAGATATTTGTTCTAGATTTATTAAAAATAAACAAAGGGAGTATACAATTATGCAAGAAAGTTATATAATAAAAAGAAAAAAAGGAAAAATCAAGATATTCTGATATTAAAATATTATGACATCCAAAAATCACCACACAATGAGTTTTTGATAAAGTTAGAGTCCACACTATATTTCATATATTTAATGATTGTGATTAGAAGTATTAACATTTTAAATGTTAAGACATTTTGATTTTTCCTTTTTTCTAATAAAAATTATCTCTTAATTATTTTTCATATCTTTATAATCCAAAAATTGGTCAACCTTTTGAGTGCTTGGAGTTCTACTTCCTATCAGGACTCTTATAATATGTTTGACTTAAAAGAAATAGAGTTGAGGGGAGAATTTTTTAACCAATCAAATTACAATATTTAAAAATATTGTAACTTGATTGGTCAAAAAATCTTACTCAATCCACCTCTCTCGTTCATTCCCCTCAAACCAAAAATACTACAATTGATAATATTCTCAACAAGCTACACTGTGAGTGATAATCTTCTCAACATCTGGCTTCTTGGTTTATTCAACAGAGCACTCGACAGTTCTTTCTGTATGCTTGGAACCTTGGACAAATTTACTAGTTCTCTAGATGCATTGTTCAGGAAATCTAACATTACTACTTTAATAAATTTATTTATTATTATTTAGAGATGACAATATATATCTTACACATAAGTTTACTTATAATTTTAGTTATTCATCTTTTCTTATGAATAACTAACATTTATAATGACTTTTTAAATGAAGAGAAAGTTCTTTATTAAAAATGATTGGATAAATATAATTAGTTCTTTAAATATATTGTTTGGTTTATGAGGAGGGGAGAAAAGGAAATTTTCTATTTAGATCACAAAAAATTGAAAAGGAGGGAAGGGGAGGAACTTTCCCTTAATTTGCTTTAATTTTCTTTGTATTTTAGTTAAACAAAACGAGATGAACTCTCCCATATAACCTGGTGGATGAGCCACGCTCCTCCATGAGGAGCAGGTGGAGTTCGCTCGAGTTTGATTCTATCATTGATTTGAATAGATACTAATTTCTAATCAGTATTTCCCTTGTCAAAAAAAAAAAAAAAAAAAAAACAAGATGGGTGGAGGGGAGAGAAACAAAATGAATTCTCTATCCTGCTCTCCCCTTTTTCGCTTAAACCAACCAGAGTAAAGAAAACAGACAAAGTAGATGGTGAAATGTCAGTTTTAGTCTTGAACTTAGAATTTTAAACATTTTGGTCCTTGAATTGTTTTAAATACTTTTTTTATCTCTTAACTCTAAAAAATGCACATTTTCAATTCTTCTATTAATTAAGTATGATGTGAGGAGTTTGACCATTAATGAATTCTTATTTTAATTCAAAAAATTATTTGAAAATTAACTTGGAAAAAATTTTGAAAAATGATGATGTGAATATTTTAATCTTATTTAAAATGTAATATTTAATTGGATTGTTAAAATTAATTGCTTTAATTTATGTTTTAAATGGGATTCCCTGCTTCCTTTTAAGTGGGACTAACTTTTAGCCAATTTTGTTGTTGAAAATGTGGTATATTATGAGTAGAATATATGTTTTTAGAAATTTTCACATAAATTTAATAGCCACCACAAAAGCCTTTTCTATTTCCACCTCATTTTCACATTATATTCAAAAATAGAAAAAATGATGAATTACATGACGGTAAGTTATGCCACCTATACAAAATCTTAATAGAAGGATAAAAGAAAGTCGGAATGTCAGTCTTTGAGGATCAAAATAGAGATTTATTAAGTTCAAGAACCAAATTGAGATTCATACCAAAGTTAAGGGACCAAAAATTATTAATTCATAGTAAGTCTTGAAAACATAAAAACCAATTGACTATTATAATGAAAGACAAGAAAATCAAATATTTCATGGTGAACACAATAGTATTAAACATTATAAAAAACTTAAAAAATAAATAAAATTAATTTAATGATATAAAATCTTAAGTTTTTATATCTTCTTTTAATATTGAGTTTTTCCAAAAGCTTCCAAAAATTGATGTTAAATAAATATTTATAGAAATAAAAAGAATCCTACTAAAA